AATAAATGAGAAAAATAAGAATAAAATCTGTAAAACCACCTCGAATGTATTATTATACAGGGTGAATTGCTACTCGTGCTACAAACTTCTCCAGTAGATTCTTCACCCTAAAATGAACAAAAAAGTTCATATTGTCCATGGTNGTTGAGAATCGGACCATGGACAATATGAACTTTTTTGTTCATTTTAGGGTGAAGAATCTACTGGAGAAGTTTGTAGCACGAGTAGCAATTCACCCTGTATATCTCCAGTCTCGATCTATTTGAAGGGACGACGTTTGTTCCATTAAGTGTAGTTTATAAGGTTGTAAACGCCTGTAAAGTCCATTTTTCCGTTAGATCGAAGTTGTCCTTTCAAAGTTAACACCATTTTTGTGATTTTCGAGAGAGAAAAAAAATGTCGGCATTGTATTCAGGAATTATTGAGAGTGAACAACTGATATCAACTTTCTTTCTTGTCTCCAGTCTCTTGTTCTTCCCAAAAAACGTATGTATTTTCCATATGATCTTTTATGCCGAATAGGGAAATAAAATCTACTCACAACTCTTGAAATTTAAGAATCAGAAACAGCCATTTTCTTGCGTATTTAAACGAACAAAATAATTATTATTTACCAATTTGGACCAAACAATAAATTTAATCCAATAATCTAACTTTTCCACATATGAAAATTACCTATAACGAATTTTTCTACTGTTTTTATTACCCTTTCAGCAACTTTTTGATTAATACACAAATATTGCAAATATAATAAGTTCGTTCAGCTTGATGATTGTAGTACGATTTACCTTTATTTCATAGACTTTTAATCTAAAATAATAAAAAAATTTCTACAGCCTAACTGAGTTCTCGTTCCATTCCCAAAAAACAGACCTTTTGAGATGAAAAATTTTGCGGTGCAAAACAATTGGGCTAAAAATGCTATTTAACCACTTATTACATTCTGGATAATTTATATGAATTTTTGATAAGTAAATTACTAATTAAGGCAGTTAATTATTTCCTTTTGTGGAAATTTTTATTATATTACCTTAATAATTATTTCACTCTATTGATTAACATATTTTGAAATGAACAACGATTTCGAGATGCAATATCAGTTAGACAAACAAATGGTAGGAGTATGGTCTGAAGAAACTGTATATAAAAATCACCTAATAGATTTCATGTTAGACGAAATAAAACAGGTTATACTGTTTTCCAATAAAGGAAAGGCTTAAGTCGGCGAGGCTCTGAGAAAATTGGGAAAAATAATCAATGGGAAAACAATGCCGCAATCTCTACGGGAACGATATAGTAATTTTCCACTTGATGAAACTGATATGGTACGAAACCTTACAAAACCGGCTTTACGACAAGAGGAGACGGTTAACAAGGGAAATTTTCCCCATTTATCATAAATTCTTCATTTCGCGCGCGCGCGTGTGTGTGTGTTTCATCGTCAATCATTCCACGATGAGTTTAAAAATACCATAAAACCTCGAAATTTTTTAATTCCATCTCGTTCCCAACTTTTAATTTTTAATTTCATTAAAACAACCTTTGCGTTGTAATTTGTACGGTCGATTCAATTACACGCCGCAGTGGTCTAATGACCGCGATTGGTTTTACAACAACAATAACATATTAACGATGTAATCTGTGTCGTAATTGTTAAAACCAACATGTCGTGCTGTTTTTAATTTTTTTTTACACATTTTAATTAACATTACAACTTCGTTGTAACTACTACCGTTTCAATGAATTAAATCCAATAATATTTATCTTGGTATAAAATACGCTTAACATTTTATACAAAAATTCATTACCATTCATGTTCAATTTAGTGAATTAATTTTGAAAAATTAACACAGGTGGTGAAGAAAGGTTCGCTACAATCCATTCAGAATTCCCCCTTTATTCTTTTCCAATGTTAAAACATCGATTCAACCTTGCTGAAACGCAACTTTGTTAAACCAAAAGCCGGTGAAATCAAATCAATGAAACCCCTTTCAAATTCGTAGTTACTTAATTAACCTCATGACAACAAATAGTCTTTCAAGCTGAACCTTATGATCAGACAGAATTTTCAAAGGTGACAGCCCGACAAAAACCTTTGTTGTGGATATTAATTTATGCCTACGCTCCTCTCTTTTACAAGCTTAAAGGCTAGGAATAATTATCGTTTTCCAAAGAAATTTCAATATAAATTCGTATAATTCCTAATGTTGTTAAAGCCTGATGACCCTGGTTATAATCAAATTACGTGTTCATTACTTCATTATACAATATTGAATGTTTTACCTGAGTTTTTACACGCTAATTTAATTTATTAGCACATTAAAATAATTAATTAATAGGAACAATAAAATATACGTTGTTAGTCTGTATACAGGCGACGCTCTGATGCTCTGTGTTCCGCATAAAAATTTTCATTCCACATTTCATGTTTCCATTTGTATCAAGAACATTATATAGTACGTTGATATAAGATAATTATATAACAAGATAAAATGCCAAAAGGCGCTTTCAGTAAAATAGGCCAAAAATATGGAATTCTTTCTGACCACAACCCTAATCCTAAGTAACTATTAGAAAGGCTGGTCGATTGCATAGAAGATCCTGCCAAAAATATTGTTACAACTTTCGGATTTGTTTTAAACACCCATTGAAGGTCTTAACTAAGATATACTATACAAAAATGGACTTTTTGGGCTGTACTATCCGGGGGGAATTTTTTTTCCGATGCCCTGTGTTCCACATAAAAATTCATTACTTTTCAGCATCTTATCCAAATTCCACGTTATTACAGTTAGTAGTAGTATTATTTAATCACGGTAGCTCAAGTTAGAGCAGCGGGGTAATGAGCCGAAGGTCGTTGGTTCGAACCCCGCTCATGACGCTAACTCGTTCATCCCAATCAAGACCTTAGAAAAAAGTATAATTAATTGAAGTTATTACATGAGTTGGAAATCTTAATATTTCTTGTTTCAGCCAATGTCAAGAACATTTAGATTTTATGTTATGACATCGTATTAAATGAAATTAAATATAAAAAGTTAAAATACCAAAAGACGCTTCTAACAAGTGAGCCAAAAAATGGTACCATTCAGATTTGTTTTAAGCACCATCAAAGGTCTTAGTTAAGAAAATATATTTCAAAGAAAAATAGACATTTTTCAGCTGTAATAGTGGGGGGAGCAATTTTTTCGCCGATATCCTGTGTTCCACATAAAAATTCATAAATCTTAAGGATGTTATAGAAATTCAACGTTTAACAAGAGTGTGTGGTGTTTAGTGACCTTTACATGATGATTATTTGAAGGTCGTGAGATGCGGTCTGGTGTGACGTAAGTTTCAGAAAAAACATTTATCTGTCGTGCCAACGTTTCGATCTTTATTGAGATCATCTTCAGAGCCTGGGATTTATAAACATTGTTTAAATTTCAAATTACCAAAAACACATCAAACGTTTTATTTTATATCTCCATTTCCAAATTTATTTAGGTTTGTGCCATTACGTGAACTTGATACGGTTATAAACACCTATAATGTTTCCTGAAGGTCGGTGGAGTTTTTTCAAAAACATCGACATTTTTGTGATTTTCGAAAAAATAAGAGGCATTTTGAAGTTTGTATTCGGATTATTTTTATGTGCAAATCACGACTATTAACATTGTTTCTTACAAAAAATAAAAATATACAATATTTTAATCTAGTAGCTCCGTTACTACGTCAAATTATATTTGGCAGCCAGCCACGGAATCAGTATCGTAGATATGAAGATATTGAAATATATAATGTGTGACTAAACGACTTAGCAAAGTAGATTAAAATGTATTTATTTATTTTTTAAGCAATAAACCATGTTAATATTCATTACATCCTAACACATGTAAAATAAATTAACAAAATAGGCAGAAAAACTATTCCTTTGCATTTGTCTTGGACCTAAGTGTCTAATATTTTTCGGCCTTTTTTAAACAGAAGTTTTTTGCTCTACTTTCCTGAAAGAGACTTTTCGTTTTTGTAACTTTTCATGTATCTAATCTCATTTACAGTACCCTGCATACTATTTTCTTGCCCTAGATAAAAACCAATAAAATGATATATAATAACTTTGAAATACATACAGCACAAAGGCAGAAAAACATATGTTTAAAAAATTACTTAAATTAGTAACTATATTTTTTTTCTCTTATGTTGACAACAACGCTCGGACTTATACGTAATATTTTTTGACCTAGTATCACCAAACACAGGTTTAGTTAATTTCGGTGATTCAGCGTCCGGAATTCCTTATTAGATAGAACTGTATTGTAAGATTAAAAATGGAACGTTCATATTTATTAACCTAGTAAATTATTAATCCATCCCTAACTAACACGTATGCCTCTCGAAAGCTCTTCGGAGTAGGAGAGTTTTTCTGTCAAATTGGCCTCCTCCCTACTTGCTATTTAATGTTAAAAATAAATATTTAATACATTACAGATAAAAACATTGTTTCCAAATAGAAAAAGTAGTTTCACAACAAATGAATAGTATTAATCATAGTTAATCTTTTGTCGTAAGGTTTTGGTTGAGATGAAAAAGTTAGTGTCACGAGAGGGATTCGAACTCATGACCTTCGGCTCAATACGCCTCTGCTCTAACCAACTGAGCTATCGTGACAATAGCCTAAACCTTACATAAAAAGATTAATTGATTGAATGAAGTAATTTGGCCAATAGACCACTAAATATTACTGATTTAATTAATCATAATATTAAAGATTAAAACACCTTGTTTTCAGAATTATACCGAACTATACAAAACATCAGTATTGTTCTGAAAAAAGGAACTAAGGCACTAGAATAAGGGTAAGGTTAATACGATCTTTCTTTACGAGCTGGAGTTGTCACGGGATAAAAGAGCTTATCCTCTAGCGGAAAAAGAGACTACCTTTATCTTTCATCGCTTTTTCCCAACAAAAAATGCTCAATTTAGTCTTTAAAGGAAGGAAAATATAAAGAAAAACTTACCGAGTGGCTAACGCTGACATGGTCCGTCGTGTGAATGACGGTTTCTGTTGTGACCGCTGTCGATTCAGTCTGCGTGTGGCTGGTCGAGGAGATCCTGTATTGCATCCCCGTGATGCTGCAGTGCCTCGTGGACCGAGTGGTGCTGTTGACGTACAGGCCGGTGATGGTCACGTCAGTGTCTTGGTTGACGATGACCGCCACCTTTTTGCTCGAGCCGCTGACTATCATTTCGTCGTCGCTCGTCTCAACGTCCATGTCGGTGCTGGTCGAGTCGTCGGAAGAATTTCTCATACCACGTTTACGTAGATCGCCATCGCCGCGAACGGAACGTTTTTCCATCGAGTATGTAGCCGCGAGCATCGCTGACGCGTTCAGAGACGCCATTCTCTTCCTCACGACCATATCCTTTAAGTCCATCATCAATTCGCACCTTTTGCGTCTTTTTCTCACTTTCTTAACCGGTTCTTCTTTCTTCTTTTTGTTCTCGTCGTCGGACTGTACGTCAAACTTTTCTTTCACTTCTTTTTCTTTAACTGCGGAAGGTGAAGGAAGTGGAGGAGGTGAGGAGTGACGTTGCTTCCCCTTGGTTTTCTTTTCCGAAACGTCAGACTCGTCACCGCTCGAGGGTTGAGAAGAGGAAGATGTTTCAACGTCGTAATGACGACCTACACTCCTCATACCTGGGGTCGTGCGGAGTGTCCTTCGTGTGACTGTGTTCTCCTCTTTCATCAACGAAAAATCGCTTTTAACCGATTTATCGTCTGAGGTTTCCGGTTCGGCTTTTATGACGGCTTCATTTAAGTTCTGTTCTTTAGGTTTTTCCGTCTTCTTTTTATCGACACGCTGTTTGGACTTGTCGAACATTTCCATCATCGCTCCACGGCTTTCGTTTTCGTAGAGGCAATGAACTTTGGCAAGGGCGTTTAGCGACGCTTCTCGATGTCGTCGCGGGCCTTCCCAAAAGCCAAACAGTTTCAGACGACGCGTTTTCAGATCGTCGTCACTCTCTTCTCCTTTGATGTTAGTTTCGGCCACGGGGATAATTTCTACTTTCTTTTCCTCGACTTTTTCTACCGTTTTTCCTTTGAATATATTTCGTTTATTGCACTCTTTTTTCGACTTTGTAGGAGATTTGCTCCGTTCTTTTCTGACTAGTTTTTCCGGTGCCGGCGAAACTTTGCCCTCCTCCGCGCATTTTTTACTCGATTTAGTGTCATCCGGTTTTGACATTTTGATCTTATGTTTAATATTCTTTTTTATAATTTTTTCGTTGCACTTTTTCTTTTTGCTTATCTGTTTCGTAACTTCTGCAACGTTAACTGAATCAGCTTTTACTATTTCTACTTCTTTTTTAATCTCCTTAGACTCCGATTTCTTTGGTTTTAGAATTTTAAGTTTCTTCTTAACATTGTCGATTGTGTCTTCTTTGAGAGACTTAGGATCTTTTTTAGCTTCCTTCATTTTTTCTTCTTTAGCATCGACAGGCTCTTCCTTCGTGTCTTTCTTCTCTAATTTAGATTCTTTTTTAACGTCCTTTCCCGATTTTTTCTCGACATCCTTTTTGGTCTCTTTTTCTTTGACCTCTTTGGAATCCTTTCCTTTACCCTGGCAGGAATCTTTCTCGTTCTGTTCCACAACGTTTTTTATTTCCAATTTGTTCTGGAGTTTATTTTTGATCGGTTTCTTCGTCGCGATGGTTTTCGAAGTCGAAGGTTTAGTCTTGGGCGGCGTGATCTTCTTCGTGAGCACGGCGACTTCTAAAATGGTGCTTACCACGGTTTCCAACTTTCCACTTGTTCCGCCGATATTCTTAATCAGACTTTTGGCAGGCTCCGGCTGCTTGGATATTTTTCTCTTTCCGATCTTACCAGAGGACGGACCGGTTTTTTTCACTTTCTTAGGGCCGGTTTTATTTTGAGGCTTTTTGACATGAATCACAACTTCGACGGGCTCGCTCGAAGTTTCGCCGTTTTCGGCCTCTTCGGCTTCTCTGGCCTGTTGTGATTGCGCCGGTGTTTCGGGTTGTTGGTTTGAACTAGTACTAGGTGTCGAGTTGGCCTGTTTTTTTCCAATAGCCTTCTTCTTTTTCTCTATTTTATCCAACGTCTGTTTTTTAGCTATTAGCGACGGTTTCTTGACGAATTTTTTAGCTAACTTTGGTTTTTCTTTAATCAGCGTCTTTGGCTTTGCGTTTCCGGCATTTTGACCAGTGTTCGAAGGCTTTTTGGCAACCTTCGGCTTAGTCGTCATATTAGAATCTTTCGACTGGGTTTTACTCCCGGCAGAATCATTACTCTTACCGGTTGTTTGCTTCTTGTTGCCTTTCACCTTTTTTTTTAGTTCGTTCGCCGAAACACTCCTGGTTTGCCTGACTTCTTGCGCTGGCCGCTTGCTGGCGGGAAGGAGAGGTTTCCTCATCTCAATCCCGCCTCTATGTTTTTTATTTATCTACGTCCGGCTATGACAGTTTCCATCCAATTAAATTTAAAATGAAAATTATAAAATAAATTATAAAATAAATAAAATAAATAAATAACACTCGGTCAATTTTAACTGCGAACCATTTTTAACCGAAAACCCCCCACGTTTTGCGCACGTTTATAAAACACAAATTCCACTGGTAAAAAACACTCCGCGGGCACTGTACATTTTACCGAACAGCCGCACTTATCTTCCTTTGATGATTTTCTACACCACACTGCGTCTTATCTAAAACAAAAAATTAACACAGATTAAAGGAATTGTTTATCCTTCCATAGGTAAAAATTATACTAATTATTCAATTGCCACAAATACTTTTGTAAGAATAAAGTAAAGATGATTAATGAAATATATCTGGCGTCTTAATCCATTTAAAGGAAACTTGTAGCAAAGATTTACGCCGTTTACAACGTAAAAACCATCGCAGTAACAGATTTACACTTGAGATTATACGCGGTAAATCTTTTGAAAGGAGATGTCAAATTGTTGATAAACACTGAATAATAAAACAAAAAATACCCCATCTACAGCCAAAGATTATCCAATATATTTATATTACCGAAGGACATTCTTGAAAGAGGGTTCAATTCCAAAGGAAAAAAATAAATTCCTATGAAAAGTCAGTCGGGGATTATTTTAATGAGCAATATTTTTCTCTATTAAAACTCCGGAGGAAAGATAAAACCGTCTACAGTTTAAATTGTTTATTGCTCACTATCATTTTCCTTGAAAAACTAAATAAACAGACTGTGCGAAATAAACTCTAAAGCCAAGTCGATTCAAAAGATCCTAAATTTCAATAAACAAAGCGAAAAAGTTAAATCAAATTAACATCTACCGAATCTACCATCCGTGATAAATCTATAGCAATAAATTATCCAGGCTAACTTTCTAGGAATGTATTGTACAAAGTAACACCTAAACAACAAGAACATGACCAATTTTACACCGAATTCAAACAAAAGGTCAAACTACTGCTGACTGTTATATATTATTAACTGAGCACTTAGTTCTTTTTTATGGATATAATTATTTAAAGAATATTTTCAATTATGTTCCTGTGCACTAATCATTGGTTCTCAAAGGGGTGTTTAAGACAGACCAACAGTACGCGATAAAAAATCGGTTCAGCCATCAGGCAAAAAGGGAATAAGAATAAATTAATTAACTTAATTGTTGAAATTGTTTTATTTAGAATATGGAATTTGTAAGACTAATCTGCCTTATTTAAATTTGCTAACATTTGTTTTTTGTGTGTTTTTTGAATAAAAAAAGTAAATACATTACTTTTTTTCCATTTTTTAGAACGTTTCGGGAATTTGCACCCATCAACATCTTCATTTTTTATAAAAAGACATAAGACGATCTCACGATCTCCAAATAAGTATAACATTGATATTCATATTTACCAATCTTTATCTTGTTTAACTTTTTTTATTAAATTTATAATTTATTAATATACATAATGTATTTTTGAAAAATAATATCTTGCATAAAAAAAAACTTCCATCTGTAATTTAGAAGAGCAGATAAGATCATTTAGGGATAATGGAAAACCAAATTACACGATTGATCTCACGTAAAACCATTAGGAACCTTCAAAAATATAAATAAACAAAGAACTACACTAAATAGAAACAAAGGACGAAAAATTACTGTACTCGATAACTTGTAAATGTACATAAACATCACATTTAACACTAAAAAAACACAATTAACAACAGTTAACACACATCTATTGCCATTTAATACACTGTACCAATTAAAAAATGTAAAAGCCGGCACTCACAAAAAACGACCAATAAGAAAACTCAGACTTAATCCTCTAAGGTACCCACAAACATAGCACCGACACACATACACACACACATCACCGCGGCCTTAGAAAATTGACTGCAGGGAAATCACTCAACCCAACACTGAAGAAGGCGAAATGCCGAAATGCGTCTTACAAACGAACCCAGCGAAGATAGACGTTGATGATCGGTAAGAATAACATTACATTTTCCATTTAAGCTGTTGACAAAATCGTATCAATTAAGAAGAAACTTGATTTCTGGAAAGCTTTCATTGAAAAATGACAGCCTGAATTGTTCGAAAGCCTCCACAACTTCTTCTCAGAGAAAGACTTAAATATAACGATTGGTGATAGGATAATAAACATTGAAATCCTCGTATTTTTCAAATGAGGCTTCTCAGAACCATAAATCGGCTGTATTAAACGAACAGTATTTTAAACGCGCTTTATTGTTAAGTTCCGAGAAGGAACTTTGTATGCTGGATTCTGATACCAATTTAAAAGATATCTTCAATGGCAAAATCGTGAAGTGGAGAGTACTGTAAACTTTCAAGAGAAGGTATTTCTTTTTTATTGCCATTTACTAACAGCAAGCATGTAAAACGGGTATATTCTTATGCTCACAAAAGAAATAAATATAGGAGCCAATCAAATGCAGCTGCGGGTTTGAGAATATGTCTACCCTCTTTTGAACCAAATTTTGGAAAATGCATTAGTGCAATTGCAAAAGGTGCAACAGTAGACCGCACCAACTAGTTAAATTGACATCTAGTCTCAAAAACCCCATTAATTTTATAAATAAATATAATGTTTGTGTGTCTAGTGTCCCTTCTACTTTAATTTTTGTGATTTCGGTTCAAAGAAGTTGGTATTGGTTGATATGAAAAACATAAACATTTCTACATTTTCGATTTAGAAATTTACTTCTCAGTGTCCTTAGTATAAAAATGAAACGTGAATGAAAATATCATCATTACGCTGGTCTGAGCAGAGTTGAAGGGTAAGTATGATGTGTTATGAGAAGGATTATGGCCTGGGATACTCTTTGGGACCCTAACCAGTATTTTTATACTATAATATAGCAGACTGAAAAAGGTGGAGGACCAGCTCTCTAAGGAAACATGCACGTTAATGAAAATATTTGCGCTATTTTAGTGGAAAATTTTAAGAAAAATCCTGATAAATTTAAAACAAAAAAACTGCCAACACTACAAATAAAGTTCATTATGTATTTAGTTTCAATTGATCAACAATAACAGCACCAAAAAGCCTGCATTTCAAGAAACACCAGCAGACGTGATCAGTCAGCAGGCAAGTTTTCATCCGACTCACTCCATCAATCCAAACCTTCATTCGTCTTGATTTGTTGTTGCCGATTTTGGCCTTTAGACCTTACTAATTAAACTCGACGTCAATAAAGCGACTTCTGCCGGGGTTAAACGCCCTTAAAACATGATTTATAAATCCACAGATTGCGGATCAATAAAAGGACCTTTCCTGCCACAGTCTGCGATGATATACCAAACATAGCATGATTTATAGTCACCGCCACAGGGTGGTTTTTTACGAGTTGGAATATCCAGTGAACCTTTCTGTTAGCTATGAAGAATGAAGTTGAAGACTAGCCATGGAAAACCAGCCGAGGAGGCCTATTAGTTTTACAGTATCCATTTACAAACGTCTGCCTTCTCCAGTATAATTAGATTTTATATCAATATCAGGGGGAAGAAAACTAGGCATTGATTTTTATTTATTTATGGGGAAAAGTATTGTTGAATAGAAGTCTTTATGTAAGGGTTGGCTGAAATAAAAAAGCCAGTGTAACAAGCGGGATTCGAACTCAAGACTTTCAGAAAAAATATGCCGATGCTCTACCACTTGAAGTCAGGATAGCTCAAGTGTTAGAGCAGCGGCGTATTTTATCCGAAAGTCGTGGGTTCGAATCCCGCTTGTCACTGGCTTTTTTATTTCAGCCAACCCCTTACTTAAAGATTACTTAATTGAAAGAAGTTCTTTGGTCATTCGGATCACGAAATATAATGGATTGAATAGAAGTTTGATTTAAAAATACTATAATTTTTGTACTGAAAATGGTACCGATAATTAATCAACTAACAAATCTCAGCCTAAACTTTGAAAAAAAAAATTTTACTTTGTATTTCTTTATTTTAAGAACTATTTAAAGATAAAGAAAATAACTGAATTAAATACAAATTGACTTGACATATAACTAGCTAAAAGGTAGAAGATTATATAAATTCGTACTAATATTCACATCAAGATAGGCCCGACAGTTGAAATAATTTTCCTGCAAAATTAATTCCACCCAACTTTAACGCGGATCAGACGGAAAGTAATCGCACCAGAGGCAGGTCAAGCTGTTGTACTGTTTGTGGTGTAATTCATCGGGCGGATCGCAGAATGAATTTACAACACTTACAAGCACACCTTTGGGACATATTTCATCAAAACTTTACTTCCAAGAGTTCATTCAGGGCAGTATTAAATTGCATGTCACATTTCATGAAAGGGGATGAAAGGGAACACTGGAAATGTTTTGTAGGCCGGTTAAAAGAGCAATGTGCGGACGTGGCAAGCACGCTATTATTTTCCCGTGGTGTCTATAGAATAGAAGCTTTTATAAATCCACAATATCATTCAGTTAGTGGAACAGCCGTTTAACGGGGCCGAGGGAAAAACACCGATCTGACGTTTTTCGTGAAAGGCAAGAAGCGACATTTATCAACATTTCATGATGGTAGTTTCAACATTCTGTCAGGAGAAGACAGAGCGGAAAAGTTGGCCGGATATCCCTCCCTTATCGGACAAAAGACAAGACGATGAGAAAGAAGTTATCTTTTCTAGGCACTGCGAACGGTTTATTCCGAAACACTGCTGGTTTAATAAGGGGGCGGAAGAAAGGGGGCGAATTTATGGGGGTCGGGGCGGGAAGTTGTAAGATTCGGCCCGAAGACTAACTTCCCTAATTCCGAGTGTTTTGAAACAATTACATAACTTCATGATTTGTTATGGCTTCCCCCCCAATCTTTTCCAAGGTTGCCGTTTATCACAATTTAATAAAGAGTACTCTCTTGGGAAAATTACCTTTTAATTTTCAAACGACAGAAGGTTCCAAGCTACAGAAAGTATTAGCACTAACAATATTATATAAAAACCAAATATATAATATCTAAATAAATGGTGTTTCAACAGGAAAAGAATAAAAACAATAATCGGGACGGGGTGGAGCTCATAAAGTACTCGAATCCAGCAGCCCTGCGTTGATATGACCTCTGCTGTTGGGAACCCTCGTAAAAAAATTATAAACCCATAACAAATTCCAACGTCCATTAAAAAAAGAACTCAAAACAGGAAGTAAGTCAGGAGGAATCAAAGCTTCTACTTCACACCCTTTCGTCTTAACATTACC